TTTTAGTATGTCAGTTGGCCCTGATTCGTATGCGGCGGTTTGCCAATAACACACATTAAAAGCCCTGTGGTTGAATTTAGAATTCTAGGCATTCTTAATCCACAGCAAATCTGCCCTGAAATCTTGATGCTTTTCGGCTTGTTAACCAGGAGTGATTTGCAGGACAATGTGAACTCTCCTTTGTGAGCAAGAGATCCTGTTCGTAATTTTCCGATGTGATGAGCAGCCTCGGATGTGGAATGAGTGAGATTTTTCCGAGCGTTACAGGACCTTTGCTGTCCGTTAAGCATTAGGCGAGCTTCTCATATAAAAAGAAGATGTTAGCCCCATTTTATGGAAAAACAATCCATGACTCATGTATTGTGAAAAATACCCCATTCCCCCCTTTGTCTGTACATCTTGTGCTTCTTTGGAGGAGTGAGTCGTTTGGCTTTGAATGTGTTTCAGGGCCTTAAGTGTCTTTCCAATCCCTTTAATCCCCGTTGGGTACAAGAACAGATGTTCAAGATCCATTGTGAGTTTCCATCGCCTTTTGCAGATGTGCCTGCAGTTGCAGCGCCAGAAAGACCGAGCTGTCCGTGGGACAGAGCGAAGGGCTTCCTGAGGCAATCCTAGACAGAGTTACGCCCCTCTAAGGCCATTGACTGCCATGGATTTAGAAGAGCGCAAGACTGTTTGGATCTCTCTCCGTCAGTCATCTAATCTGGCATCCTTCTTGTCATCCTGATTATTTTTCATGTTGTTTCCTCACAAGACATCCTCAATGTGTTGTTTATCTGAAAGAGAACACAAATTTAGGGCCGAAAATGGCGCAATTATCCTTGACGGGACAATTGGCACTCCTTCAGATCTATGCATATCCACACACACACAGGTGTGTGTGTGTGCGCCCGTACATCATTGATGGTCTCCCATCCCCATACAGTAGCTGATGACATCAAGCTAGCCTGGGCTATCCAGGCAAAGGTAGAGGTGTTCGTTTCTTTGGTCCACCTTTTCAGTCGGCACCAGGGCTATTTTTGGGCAGGAACGCAGTTCCGGCTGGCTTCCAAGTTGGCCACACCCAGCAGGGACTCATTAGCATAATAGGCCACACCCAGCATCAGAATCTCATTAGGATTGCCTACATTAGGGGTGTGTGGCCTAACATGCAAAGGCGTTCCTGCTACAAAAAAAAGCCCTGGGTTTTGACCACAAACAAGGTAAACAGAATAAGAAGCAAAAGGTGGGTGTGGCTGGATGAGCACACTTCTAGTAACATGGGGTGTGTGGCCTAATATGCTAATGAGTTTCTGCTGTTGGGTGGGGCCTATTATGCTAATGAGTTTCTGCTGGGCTTTTTCTACAGAAAAAGCCCTGGTCAGCACACTCCTAAAGTGGCTTGCATTGATAATTCAGTTAAAATATAACGGGACAATTCATCATATTGCACGACAATTTCCCCAGCCTGCTAGCAGTCAGAGCACACTCACCTGGCTTTGTGGATCATAACAGGTACACCAATCACACAGTATGACATCATCCCATCTGACCAGCTCCAGCTTCCCAGTATAGGAACCCACTTTCAGTTCTAGGGATTTTACACTCTGGCTCTTGGACCCAAAACATCTGAAGATCTTATCCAGGACTTGTCTTTTCTGTCTGAAGAAAAGGCTGACAATATAGCTCCATGCTTCTTGATTTTGATCAGACAGCTTGAAACATTATGTTGTTGTCCATTGCAGAGTAATGTGCATATGTGCATTCATATCCTGTTCACTAGAGATTTGAACCAAAATTATTTTGGAGTCATTTTCCATTTGCTTTAGTTTTTACTCTTCACTATAGTTACGTCCCCTGTTCTCTTTCTTTGTTGTATTTTATTCTTTGTTTCTGTTCGTTTTGAATATGAAACACATTTTTTTTCTCAACTCCCTTCCCAGCCCAATTGGGATTGCTCTATCCAAATCAATAGGGCCCTTCACCTTGCCAGACTTCAGACGGCAGGTTAAAAGTTTCCTTTTGTACAGTCAATTAAAATTCTGACTTGCAGAGCAGGTACAGGTATTTGGGGGTGAGTTTTTCCTTTTCTCCCAGGATGTTGGGTTTGGTTTTTTTAAAAAATAAACAGGCAAGAAAAGCTAAACCCTAGCACTCTACTGCCTAACTTCATTGTATTCTGTTATTTCACCATTTTTCTCCCAGCCCCGCAGACTTCTGGAGCATAAAAAAAATTAGGTGGGAGATCCCTGTGAAGCATTAAAAAATTAGGTGCAGGAAGACGCAAGGTTTAGTTCTCCTTGCACCTGCACATGCCCTGTTTATAGAACCCTTCTTTGATTCCCCCCCAGAAGGGAGGAGGCATACTCATGCATCAACATTGTTTAGCCATAAACATAAAACATTCACTTGAACCTCATGAGCTCTTAGTGTGGCCCCACCTTTCATAGGAGGGGACATCTGTCTCTATCCCTTCCATTTGCAGCAGGCCGCCTGCCTTCCAGCGGGTACGAGCAAAATGTTTGGCTGTTATCTCCTACTGGTGTGCTGAGAACCAGAGCAGAGAAGGTAACAGCAAGAAAGCAGGATGCACTTCTTCATATATAGAACCAAGCATATGCACAAGCCAGTGAGGGATGATACGACGGGTAGCAGAGTGGCTCTAGAGGGAGAATGAAAGGTGGTAGATACCATTCCCATTGCAAGAAGAACACCGAGTGCACAATTTATATTCTCCCGTAACCTTCATTGGGATTATGTAAAGTATAAACAAGAAGACCAGAAAAGCACATTCCTACTGCTCTTTGGCCAATGGGGCAAATAACATTGCTGAGCCACAAGGGGGGGGGGGGGATGTAACATCCCTTCCTAGGGTTACCAGCCTCCGGGTGGGGGCTGGAGATCTCCCGGAAGTATGACTGATCTCCAGGCTACAGAGATCCATTCCCCTGGAGAAAATGGTTGCTTTGGAAGGTGGACATTATGGCATTACACCCTGCTGAGGTCTCTCCTGTCCCCAAACCCTGCCCTCCACGGGGCCCACCCACAAAATATCCAGGAATTTCCCAACCCAGAGCTAGCAACCTTATCCCCTCCCCTTGATCTATAGTCCCAATCTGAATTGGGGACCCACATGCCGATTATTATAGGGGGGGGGATCCTGGAAGCCCCAGTGCCTCATGTTGCTGCACTCTGAGGCAAAGGTCTTTCCCAAGCGTCCCATCTGACACACCTTTGACTTACTTCCAAGTGAGTATGGTTCGAACTACGGGTGATGACTTCTATGAAGGAGAAGGGAAATATGCCCTGGCTTCTGGGCATCTCTTATGTTCTTATGTTAAATGAATTCTCCCCAGCTAGTTTGGATGCGGTGTTGTGGTTTATTGGAACATTGGCAAAAGACACTTTGAGGATTAAGAGATTTCAAAGCCCATTTCTTGACTCCTTGATACTTTATTCGATTCCCTAGGGGCACTTCCAACGGCTTCCTTCAAGAAAGTGTGCTTATTTTGGTAAGGGATATTGCTCATGTGTTTTCCTAAATTTGATTTTCCCCCCCTCTTGATTTTCACAGGGTGAAAGAGGCTTGCAAGGTCTACACGGTTTGGTGGGGTTTCCTGGAGTACAAGGGCCTGAAGGGCCACCAGGGGCCCCAGGACTGAAGGTAAGATTTCAAGACCACCGAACGAGACACCACGGCAGGCGATTTGGCCATGGACCTCCCACAGTTTCTACAGCGTTAGTAGCAACGAGTGGCTGACTGGGAGAGCATAATAATGATCTGGTAGCATTTTTATGCGGGTGATTGGATTGCGGGGCAGCTGTCACTTCATCGATCTTAGGGGTGTGCAAAACCCCGATATTTTGGGGTTTGGGTATATTGAATCTGAAAAATATCAGTATTTTCTGACATTCCCAAATCCCAATACTGGTATGGTATTCAGATTCAGGAAATATTCAAGAAACCCGAATTTTTTTGGCTCTATCATACCCAATGGGGACCATTATAGTCAATGCGGGTCTCTGGGTCTCTGGAGGGGCTGTTTTTTTTAGTTAGAGGCACCAAGTTTGCAGCATAGCTGCTGGTACCTCTCCTCAAATCCCCCCAGTGGGTCCAATTCTATGGACCCCCAAAGAAGGTGCCCCCATCTTCTATTGCTTTCAGTGGAGGAAAAAAAGGTGTTTAAAGGGATTGCAGTCCCTTTAAATATGCTTTCTTCAAGCCATGCAACTCCGTGGTGAGTGAACTTTGAAGGCATTTAAAGGGCTCACAGTCCCTTTAAACACCTCCAAGCAGCAAGTTCACCTGGAAGGCATTTAAAGGGACTGTGAGCCCTTTAATTGCCCTTGGAGTTCACTCGTCACAGAGTCGTGTGGCTTGGAGAAGGCATTTAAAGGGACCACGATCCTTTTAAACGCCCTTTAAGTTTGACTATCCAAGAGTCCTGAAAATCCCAAGTATTTTTGGGATTTTTAGGGCTTGGCCATTTCAGATAGCCGAACAATAACCCAAATCTATATCTGGCTGAAACAATATCAGGAAAATACCGATAGGATATTTTCCTGATATTTTTTCGGCTCGAATTCAGCCGAACGCACACCCCTAATCGATCTACATCCTTGTTCTACAGAGAAAACAGTTAACCTGAAGGGGTTTAACTTGAAGCTGTGCTAAAGTGGAAGGATCTTTCTCACCCCACCCTTCTGTCTTACAGGGTGACACCGGAGAACCAGGACTGCCAGGAACAAAAGGAACCAGGGTGAGTTTGCCTGAATTTGTATTCGAACTGTGTAAAGGAAAGTTTGGTAGCTCTTGAACTTCTAATTTAGATAAGAACACCAAAAGAGCCCTGCTGGATCAGACCAGTGGTCCATCTACTCCAGAATCCTGTTTTCATGCCAGTTACCCTAGAAGGCCAACAAACAAGGCATCTTATTCAAGCCTCGCTGAGCCACTAAGAGATTCTGCAAAGTCCCCTGACACAATGATTTGGGGATGGCAATGAAACAGCCACTCCCACTTAAAATCTTATTGGGGGCAGCTGTGTCATCTGATCTGTCTCTTGTCAACAAGGAAGTTGTCCCGAATCATATGCTGAAAGCTCAATCCAGACATTTCAAAGGGGAGGGGGACAGGATGTAAATGGTAGCAGGGCACTTTTGTTGTTGTTGTTCAATCGCACAGTCGAGTCTGACTCTTCGCAACCCCATGGACTAGATCACGCCAGGCCTGCCTGTCCTCCACCGTCTTCTGGAGTTTGCTCAATTTCATGTTCGTTGCCTCGATAACACTGTCTAACCATCTCATCCTTTGCCGTCCCCTTCTTCTTTGACCTTCAGTCTTTCCCAGCATCAGGGTCTTCTCCAGTGAGTGCTCCCTTCTCATTTGGTGGCCAAAGTATTTGAGCTTCAGTTTCATTATCTGGCCTTCCAGGGAACAGTCAGGGTTTATTTCTTGTAGGATTGACTGATTTGATCTCCTTGCAGTCCAAGGGACTCTCAAGAGTCTTCTCCAGCTTGTTGGTGACACCAGTACTAAACCCCAGAAAGGAAGATGGTATCAGGAGTTCTTAGACATTGGCCATGCATCCTTGTTCAGAGCTGGGATGTTCAAAATATTTCCCCCCCTGATTCTGTTTTTG